TTTTTTTTAACAGAAAATCACAAACTTTCTCCACTGAGATGTTAAGCCAGACTTTCCTTTCTTTAATTAATTCAAAACGTTGACAGAAATTAAGACCGAGAACGGGTTCACGAGGTCTCCATACATAGCTGCTATGATGGGTTGTTTTTGTTGTTGTTGGGGGGGGGGGGGGGGGGGGGGGCAGTGAAAACTGAAAGCTGAAGGAGAAATGAATACCGCTTTTAGTTTGAAAAAAAAAAGAAATGTACAAATAAATGAATGCTTCCCTATCTTCTCCACCCGTTGTAAGTGGGTGTTGGAGGGCGTCACTGGTAGGTCCTACTTTTAGTCTTTCCTTCTGTGGTTTCTTTTTGTGTGTCTTCCTTTTTCCTTGCACTTAACGAAAGTTAATGTATGGATGTTTTTCTTTTTACTCAAACAACCAACTAACCAAACAAACAAATGTCATGGTTACACAAAAGAGTTTCCACCTATTCATGCAAAAAAGAAGGATTTGACATTTGTTGTCGTTTTCGGTGGTTCGTCAATCGGTTATGGCTTGTAACACGCTAGGGCTGGGTTTTTATGATTCCTCAATTAATTGTTTTTAGCTTTGAACACACCTGTCTGAAACTGTAAGTGGATGAATCCGAAGTCACTCAGAGCTTGGAGCACATTTGTCTGTGGAGGATCGCCAATTGTTTATAAATTTGAACACACCTGTCTTGGACTGTACATAATTCCTCATTTGTTTATAACTTTGAACACTCTTGTCTTGGACTGATTTTTGGACGATTCCTCTCTTGTCTATAACTTTGAACACACCCGTTTATGACTAGATAATTCTTCAGTTATATATAACTTTGACCGTAACTGTCTGGGACTGTAGGTAGGTCCTCAATTGTTTATAACTTTGAATACATTTAACTGGGACTGTAGAAAATTCCTCAATTGTTTATAGCTTTAGACACACCTGTTTGTAACTGTGTATAGCTCCTCAATGGTTTCATAGCTTTGAACACATCTGTCTGTGGATGATTCCTCAGTTTTGTATAATTTTGAACACACCTGTTTGTTACTGTAGATAATTTCTCCGTTGTTTAAATCTTTGAACACACCAGTTTATAACTATAGTAAATTTTTCAATTGTTGAGAGCTTTGAACACACTTGTCAGTAACTGTAGATAATTCCCCAATTGTTGAAAGCTTTGAACACACCTGTTTTGCGATTGTGGATGATTCTTCAATGGTTTATAACTTTGAACACCTGTTTGTAACTGTAGATAATTCTTCAACCGTTTATAGCTTTGAACACACTTGATTGTGACTGTCTGTCCCTCTCACACCACAAGCCAGATTAACAACGTCTATAGGTGGTTGGCGATGCTTCGGTATGGTTTTCTCCTTTTTTCTAATCAAACATCTATCATTCTCATATATCCCCTCCCTGTCTGTGTATGTTACTACCTTGTAACACTTCTAATCATTGGTATTATTTTTGTTGCAAGTGCCGCAAAACTTGTACTATAACTAAAATCGACAAGCCTCCAAGTAAAACCAGAGCCTGTGTTCGTTTTGTCCGACAGAGACTGCATGCAGCAACAAGCTACTTTGGAGTACTGTTGCAAATGCCGTAAAACTCTTACTAAAACCAACATCGACTTCCCCAGGCCCGAGTTCGCGATATCCTTCAGAGACAGCAAATAGTGACGAGCCACTTTAGAGCAGAGTTTTGTTCACTGGTCAGAGACAGGCGGTGGACTCGTGGGATTACAAAACCCGCTGTTCCTTTAAAGGTCTAGTGGAACCTCGGAGCAGTTGAGTGACCTCGTGGTGAAATCAGGACTTGGTCAAAGTAAACAAATCGGCATTTTCCGGCCTTTGAGAGTCTACCAAAGAAATAACAACAATTGTTGGTGGTGAATTCCAAAGCTTGAGAGTTCTTGAAAAAAAAAATTCTTTTTTCTTTTGCCTTTCATCAAAGTTTTTTATAATTTAGATTAAAAACGACTCAGACAGAAACTATAAGGTGTTGAGCCCACCCGTTAAAAAACAATAAGTTTATTTGTGTGTAACGTGTGAGATTCCAACGCTTCGGGGCCCCAAAGCTGAGGAAAGGATCACAACACAGAGAGAAACAGGTTTGGCTAACTCCTGTTGTAGGCGCAGGCAGACAGAAGGTTAGTAGTGTTAAACATTGTTTTATGTTCCAAGTAACAACAGAAACAACAGAGGGAAAGAAAAGAAATAGGACCTAGTCTACCTCTGACGCCCTCCAACCACCTATAAATGTGTGTTGCAAGAGCCGTGGAACTCACCCTAAAACTAAAACAGGTCAGCTTTAAAGCTGTCTCAATTCGAGACTTTCCCTTTAATGTTAGGCGGGGTTTTTGTTGTTGTTATTTCTTTGTTCGACTCTTTGAAACATGAGCCTTGGAAACGCCGACACAAACAACACTGGTGTCCATTTAACAGCAATCCAGACAAAAGGAACATCCCCCTAACAGCAGCCTGAGCATGT